TAAGTTTCATAAGTGAAGGAGAAATAAAATCCTTTACAGACAAGCAAATGCTTAGAGATTTTGTCACCACCAGGCCTGCCCTATGAGAGATCCTGAAGGAAGCACTAAACATGGAAAGGAACAACAGGTACCAGCCATTGCAAAAACATGCCAAAATGTGAGGTCCATTGATGCTAGGAAGAAACTGCATCAACTAACGAGCAAAATAACCAGCTAATATTATAATGACAGGATCAAGTTCACACATAACAATATTAACCTTAAATGTAAATGGATTAAATGGTCCAATTAAAAGACACAGACTGGCAAATTGGAAGAGTCAAGACCCATCAGTTTGCTGTATTCAGGAGACCCATCTCACATGCAGAGACACACATAGGCTCAAAATAAAGGGACGAAGATCTACCAAGCAAATGGAGAACAAAAAAAAGCAGGGGTTGCAATCCTAGTCTCTGATAAAACAGACTTTAAACCATCAAAGATCAAAAGAGACAAAGAAGGCCATTACATAATGGTAAAGAGATCAATTCATCAGGAAGAGCTAACTATCCTAAATATATATGCACCCAATACAGAAGCACTCAGATTCATAAAGCATGTCCTTAGAGACTTACAAAGAGACTTAGACTCCCATACAATAATAATGGGAGACTTCAACACCCCACTGTCAACATTAGACAGATCAACGAGACAGAAAGTTAACAAGGATATCCAGGAATTGAACTGAACTCTGCACCAAGCGGACCTAATGGACATCTACAGAACTCTCCACCCCAAATCAACAGAATATACATTCCTCTCAGCACCACATCGCACTTACTCCAAAACTGACCACATAGTTGAAAGTAAAGCACTCCTCAGCAAATGTAAAAGAACAGAAATAACAAACTGTCTCTCAGACCACAGTGCAATCAAATTAGAACTCAGGACTAAGAAACTCAATCAAAACTGCTCAACTACATGGAAACTGAACAACCTGCTCCTGAATGACTACTGGGTACATAATGAAATGAAGGCAGAAATAAAGATGTTCTTTGAAACCAATGAGAACAAAGATACAACACATCAGAATCTCTAGGACACATTTAAAGCAGTGTGTAGAGGGAAATTTATAGCACTAAATGCTCACAAGAGAAAGCAGGAAAGATCTAAAATTGACACCCTAACATCACAATTAAAAGAACTAGAGAAGCAAGAGTAAACACATTCAAAAGCTAGCAGAAGGCAAGAAATAACTAAGATCAGAGCAGAACTGAAGGAGATAGAGACACAAAAAACCCTCCAAAAAATCAATGAATCCAGGAGCTGGTTTTTTGAAAAGATCAACAAAATTGATACACCGCTAGCAAGACTAACAAAGAAGAAAAGAGAGAAGAATCAAATAGACGCAATAAAAAATGATAAAGGGGGTATCACCACCAACCCCACAGAAATACAAACTACCATCAGAGAATACTATAAACACCTCTATGCAAATAAACTAGATAACCTAGAAGAAATGGATAATTTCCTGGACACTTACACTCTCCCAAGACTAAACCAGGAAGAAGTTGAATCCCTGAATAGACCAATAGCAGGCTCTGAAATTGAGGCAATAATTAATAGCTTACCAACCAAAAAAAGTCCAGGACCAGAAGGATTCAGAGCCGAGTTCTGTCAGAGGTACAAGGAGGAGCTGGTACCATTCCTTCTGAAACTATTCCAATCAATAGAAAAAGAGAGAATCCTCCCTAACTCATTTTATGAGGGCAACATCATCCTGATACCAAAGCCTGGCAGAGATACAACAAAAAAAGAATTTTAGACCAATATCCCTGATGAACATCAATGCAAAAATCCTCAATAAAATACTGGCAAACTGAATCCAGTAGCACATCAAAAAGCTTATCCACCATGATCAAGTGGACTTCATCCTTGGGATGCAAGGCTGGTTCAACGTACACAAATCAATAAATGTAATCCAGCATATAAACAGAAGCAAAGACAAAAACCACATGATTATCTCAATAGATGCAGAAAAGGCCTTTGACAAAATTCAACACTCCTTCATGCTAAAAACTCTCAATAAACTTGGTATTGATGGAACGTATCTCAAAATAATAAGAGCTATTTATGACAAACCCACAGCAAAAACGGAAGCATTCCCTTTGAAAACTGGCAGAAGACAGGGATGCACTCTCTCACCACTCCTATTCAACACAGTGTTGGAAGTTCTGGCTAGGGCAATCAGGCAAGAGAAAGAAATAAAGGGCATTTAATTAGCAAAAGAAGTCATCAAATTGTCCCTGTTTGCAGATAACATGACTGTGTATTTAGAAAACCCCATGGTCTCAGCCCAAAATCTCCTTAAGCTGATAAGCAACTTCAGCAAAGTCTCAGGATACAAAATCAATGTGCAAAAATCACAAGCACTCTTATACACCACTAACAGACAAACAGAGAGCCAAATCATCAATGAACTCCCATTCACAATTGCTACAAAGAGAATAAAATACCCAGGAATCCAACTTACAAGGGATGTAAAGGACCTCATCAAGGAGAACTACAAACCACTGCTCAGTGAAATAAAAGAGGACACAAACAAATGGAAGAACATACCATGCTCTTGGATAGGAAGAATCAATACTGTGAAAATGGCCATACTGCCCAAGGTTATTTATAGATTCAATGCTATCCCCATTAAGCTACCAAAGACTTTCTTCACAGAAGTGGAAAAAACTGCTTTAAAGTTCATATGGAACCAAAAAAGACCCCACATTGCAAAAAAAATCCTAAGGCGAAAGAACAAAGCTGGAGGCATCATGCTACCTGACTTCGAACTATACTACAAGGCTACAGTAACCAAAACAGCATGGTACTGGTACCAAAACAGCATGGTACTGCTACCAAAACAGAGTTATAGACCAATGGAACAGAACAGAGCCCTCAGAAATAATACCACACATCTACAGCCATCTGATCTTTGACAAACCTGACAAAAACAAGAAATGGGGAAAGGATTCCCTATTTAATAAATGGTGCTGGGAAAATTGGCTAGCCATAAGTAGAAAGCTCAAACTGGATCCTTTCCTTACTCCTTATACGAAAATTAATTCAAGATGGATTAGAGACTTAAATGTTAGATCTAAAACCATAAAAACCCTAAAAGAAAACCTAGGTAATACCATTCAGGACATAGGCATCGGCAAGGACTTCATGTCTAAAACACCAAAAGCAACGGCAACAAAAGCCAAAATTGACAAATGGGATCTAAAGAGCTTCTGCACAGCAAAAGAAACTACCATCAGAGTGAACAGGCAACCTACAGAATGGGAGAAAATTTTTGCAATCTACTCATCTAACAAAGGGCTAATATCCAGAACCTATAAAGAACTCAATCAAATTTACAAGAAAAAAACAACCCCATCAAAAAGTAGGCAAAGGATATGAACAGACACTTCTCAAAAAGAAGACATTCATACAGCCAACAGACACATGAAAAAATGCTCATCATCACTTGCCATCAGAGAAATGCAAATCAAAACCACAATGAGATACCCAACTCACACCAGTTAGAAAGGCAATCATTAAAAAATCAGGAAACAACAGGTGCTGGAGAGGATGTGGAGAAATAGGAACACTTTTACACTGTTGGTGGGACTGTAAACTAGTTCAACCATTGTAGAAAACAGTGTGGCCATTCCTCAAGGATCTAGAACTAGAAATACCATTTGACCCAGCCATCCCATTACTGGGGGTATACCCAAAGGATTATAAGTCATGCTGCTATAAAGACACATGCACACGTATGTTTATTGCGGCACTATTCACAATAGCAAAGACTTGGAATCAACCCAAAAGTCCATCAGTGACAGACTGGATTAAGAAAATGTGGCACATATATACCATGGAATACCATGCAGCCATAAAAAAGGATGAGTTCATGTCCTTTGTAGGGACATGGATGCAGCTGGAAACCATCATTCTCAGCAAACTATCGCAAGAACAGAAAACCAAATACTGCATGTTCTCACTCATAGGTGGGAATTGAACAATGAGATCACTTGGACACAGGACGGGGAACGTCACACACCGGGTCCTATTGTGGGGAGGGGGTAGTGGGGAGGAATAGCATTAGGAGATATACCTAATGTAAATGACAAGTTAATGGGTGCAGCACACCAGCATGGCACATGTATACATATATAACAAACCTGCACGCTGTGCACATGTACCCTAGAACTTAAAGTATAATAATAAAAACAAAAAACAAAAAACCCAATCTAGCCATTTACTAGTAAGCAACCTTGGGAAAATTATTCAATTTCCTGGCACTTCAACTAAGGAAACTGATGTAAAACGAGTATAACACTGCTTTGTAAAATAGATTTCATAAAAGCTATCTCATATCTCAAGCTTTTTATTTCATAAAAGCTACAACATATTATGTTGTAAGGATTAAATGATATGAAAAGTACTTAATATAGTTTCTGGTACACAGCATAAATATTAGTTCCTTAGTTTACTAGCAACTAAAGATAATTTTTTGGCATGTGGGCTACTGGTATCAGCAATTAGGAACTCCTTTTATTCTACAGTTAACCATTTTGGTTAAGATAAATCGACCACCATTTTCTTGAATTTGTAAGGATATAAATAAATATATATACACACATATAATCACTTTTAAAAATAAAAGTGATTTATATCCACAGTTTTAATAATTTTTTTTTTTTTTGAGACATGGTCTCACTCTGTTGCCCAGGTTGGAGTGCAGTGGTGCGATCACGGCTCACTGCAGCCTCGACCTCCCAGGCTGAAGCCAGCCTCCAGAGCAGCTAGCAGTACAGGTGTGCCACCACACCTGGCTAATTTTTTGTAGAGACAAGGTCTCATTATGCTGCCCACACTGCTCTCAAACTCCTGGGCGTAAGCGATCCTCTCACCGTGGTCTCCCAAAGTGCTGGGATTATGGGTATGTGTCACTGCACATGGCCTAATAATAAAAACTTAATTCTTACCTTAGATGAAATGATCCGGTTATCTATAAATTTCTGAGGTGTGTAAAGGCCATTCTGAGGAAACCTGTTGGCTACGTAGATGGTTCTTGTGTCACTCTGATGTGGTGGGTCAAAACCCTAAGACCAGCCAAGCAAGAGAAAAAGAAATACTAGTCAACCAGGTTAGTTATGCTACTTTACTGTTAGCTTTATTTAACTGGTCAGATTACATACATTACTATTGCCCTTAAAATGCATACAGACTCAATCTATTTAATTAGAAGAGCTATGCCACCTATTTTTTTTCTTTCACAGGTAAACAGGTACATTATCTCCAGATAGAAACTTAACTAGGTAATGCCGTTAGTAATGAAAAACAGTTCATTCTCTGTCAGAAATACTCCTATATTGAAAAAAAAATCTCATGGGAGACCTACAGAAGTATTTGAGGACAAGTTTTCTATCCCTACTGCATTCCTTCCCTTTCATTTCTGTGGATGGATTTCTACTCAAGTGATGTGGAAGTCCTGTGTAGCTACAGCGCAGTAAACACCTACCACATCTGATGGCAAAGGTTTATATTTATTTCACTTTTCCCATCACCAGACTGACTTGGTTGCAAAGAACTTTGTTCCCAGATGACTTACAGTACGTTAGGTAGGATCTTGCCCAGACTCATTCCACACAATTACTTATTGGTGCCATTATAGTATCAATTGACTTACTGAAATATAAATATGAATACGCTGTAATTCCTGGCCTTCAGGAACTCATATCCTGACCTCAAATTTAGAAGACCATCTGTCAAGGCATATTAGTAATCATCTCCAGTAGAAAAGATTCCACGGGTGACAAGAATACTGAAACTTTATCCTCAGAGGACTGTACTATCTTCCACAGTTGCAAGTGAATCTTCAAGACAACTTTAACATTCGACATACTGTCTAGGGGTTTGATAAATTAGAGGAAAAAAAAAAACAGACTCTTTTGGCAGATCCTGGGAATCCACTGATAGGCTGAAAGCAATATACAAATGAAAGACTTTCTTTCTTTGGTTCTAACAGGCAAATGAATCAAAATTCCTTAGGTTTCTTTCTTTTTTTTCTTTTTTTAAATAGTGGTCATGGGCTATAAAACTTGGTATTCATAAGCTACGATAATCCATTTTTAGATATTAGTAAAGACTCTAATCTAGTAACCTACTAAGAAAGTACTCTGGCTGCCATTCAATGCTTAGCATCCCTGTAACATTTCCATTAAGCACAGACATACACAGACAGTGGGAGATCCCATGTAAGCTAGAGGGATATTTTGCTTAGTTCATTGGAATATTAAGTGTTATGTATGGCATTCAACTGTTATTATTCTTGGTTTTAAACTTTTATTCTGTGATCTCAGAAACAGCTAGTACAGGACTGTACAAATGCATTTGTATGCATCACAACAAACATGTTTATCTGTTCAGACTATTTAAAGTCCTAAGATTTTTCTACCCTGCTTTTGCAACACTTTGCAATAGTGATGAACACACTTTGTAGATGTGAAAATGGCATTATGTGTCTGATCTCAAGATAGGTCTCTTCAATGAAAAAATATGGTGGCATAAATATTTATTTTCCTCATAAAGTGTCTTTAAAATTTTTCACAATTTGGCAAATAAATGAATAAGTGAACAAATGAATGAACAAATAGTTTGAAGGCTACTCCTTTAGTCTAGGACTGTATTTCTCAAAAGAGGTTCACAGGAAGTTTACCTATAAACAGGTATCTGGAGCATTAGACTGCAGGGAGGCATATTTATTCAGCATCTGCTTTGTAAACATGTTAACATCTCCCCCCATACACTAGCTCCTGCCTCTTCATATGCTTTCTGCCATCTTTCTCTCCAGCATCACTCTGCTTTCAGCTCAACTCAACAGATTCAGATGGACACCTGTTTAAGAGCCTATTAAAACAGATAAAATGTTACTAACATGTTATTACTTCTCTTTAACACTAATTTAAACACTGATTTATAGCTTCTGGGATTTTTTTTAGAAAAGACAGTAAATTTCAGGGCCACAAACAATACATAAATCTTTAAGATGTCAAGAAAACTGAGACTGAGAACCACTTAAAGAAAATTTTAATTTTTTGCTAAATTCTCACCAAGACTGGAATTTATATATATCTAAAGTTAAGAAACAAAAACCAAAGGACCCAAAGTAACAGCAAGATAACTACAGCAATACCTCAGTTATGACTAGAATTTCTATTAACATATAAATGCACATAATTTACATGAAGCAAATGCTCATCATTTCCCATTTATCTCTACTGGATGGATAAGAACCAATGACCACATACTAAAATTCTGGAACTCCTGAGGGTTCTATAATTATTTCAAAGGGATATATTAAAATGTTCCCCCTGGCTGGGCGCGGTGGCTCACGCCTGTAATTCCAGCACTTTGGGGCGCCGAGATGGGCGGATCACAAGATCAGGAGAATGAGATCGTCCTGGACAACATGGTGAAACTCCATCTCTACTAAAAATTTAAAAATTAGCTGGGTGTGGTAGTGGGCACCTGCAGTCCCAGCTATTTGGGAGGCTGAGGCAGGGGAATCGCTTCAACCCGGGAGGTGGAGGTTGCAGTGAGCCGATATTGTGCCACTGCGATCCAGGCTGGCAACAGAGCAAGACTCTGTCTCAAAAAAAAACCCCCCCCAAAAATATATATATATTATACATTAAACCGAATTTTTAAAATCCTATAGAGCATTTCTATATTCCAATTAAAAATAAGATGACAAATCTAAAAGGATAATGACAAACTCTTCCGTATTTCCAATGACGATACAGTATCTACTTAGGCATTCTGAGGTTTTTCATTAATTCACATAATCTCATCTAATCATATTATAGTCAATGGCATGCATTTGTGGGGATGTACGTGTGTTATTTTCTTTCATATGCAAAACAGTTAAATTTAATATATGTGTCTATTGTATAAATATGGCCAAATGTCCCTTATGGAAATTAAACCTATAACTTCAGTTTATTAATATTTAGTATCAACTTTGCTGCAACAAATTAAACTAGCCACAACCTAAATAAAAATAAAAGAACAAAACTATCCAAAAATGAAGAAAGTGATTTAGAGCAGGATCGATAAATGGGCTTCAGGTCTCTGAATCCCTGAAATTGTGTGTAAATTTGCATATATGTGCATTTTTCTGATAAGCGTGTACATAGGTTTCATGAGCTGTGCATGATGAAAAGAAGCTTAAAAGTACTTAACTTAAAATTGTGCTTTGTAATTAGTTCTCTAGCTTGAAATTCTACATTTAAAACTACCTCAAGAGAATCTTTATGTTTCAGTGATACCTTTATCTTCTTTAACAGGAATCAAAACAAGCTATTAACAAAATTATTTGTGTAACTACATGTTTAGTACGAAGTTCAAGCATATTTTCACACTATTTCTAGTAAGCATTGTCAGCAATTCTATGACACTGGAGAGGAAATATAATTTGAACTCCCTAATCACTAGGTCAAGGCTACATGCCAAGGTTCAGAAACCTCTGGCACATAATACATTTTCTCTTGTTATCCCAGGTTACTCATTCACACCCTCAACCCCTTGATGCTTGCCTGCTCCTTTCTTTTCTGATTTTATCTTGTCCCGCTTAAAGGAACTGAGATAGATTAATGCTATTCCAACTACTGTGGTTGAATGTTAATGTCTAATAAAAAGTAGAGTTTAGGTATTGCAGGCACACAAATTTAAACTATGAAAGCTGTTACAGTCTTAAAAATTATGAAATTCAAAATCCCTTTTTTTTCTTACTGGATTTATGAGCATAGGTTAAAGCCATAGGTACTAAAAAAAAAAAAATTGTGGGGAATATTTAAAAGGGGAAAAGTCTCATGATGACGGATAGGGGAAGAACTGTTAATACACAAGACAGGATTGATTTGAACGAGACTCCTCTTGTAACCAAACTGAATGAGACCTGGAGAAATCAAACCAGCAAACAGCTATATGAATTTTAGGAGGAGGTCTCTGGCATAAAACAATACTTAGGAATAATCTCAACATTTTCAATTGTAGGCCAAGTATATTAGCCTCTTCATTATCTTAAAATCCCAAAGATTTTGTAAGCGTTACAAATAAAAGAGCTAGGGAGAGACTAAAACTACAGTTATGAATAATTTAATTAGTCATACTTCTTTAATATAACTAAGAAAACATCATCCTTAGAGTTCACAGCGCTTTCTAGCAATCCTACATATGATCTATTTGCTCTATGACAGAAAGAAAAAGCATCAAAACAAACAAAAGACCTCAAAACAACAAAAACAAAAAGCAGCTTCAGGGTCAAAACTGTAATACCATTAGGTTATTAAAACAAAGGAACAGAATTTTATTTAGATCGCATGCATGACAGAAAGTGATTTTTGTTGGCTGTATGTTTCAAAGTATACAGGCACATGAAAACGCCTAGGGGAAAAAATATCAATGCTTCTGGGGAGGAATTATTTAACATCTTTTACTGAAACCTACAAAGTTAATTGTGAATTACTGTTTCCTAGACATAAACTTTCAATAAAACATACCTATTCAGTAACATATACCTATATAAAGGTACCATTAGGGCAAGATAATGTGACACAGTTAACAGACCAGAGTAAGGTGACAGAGAAAAGCTTAAAACACCCACAATGTAAACAGTTGTAATTTATCTTAGCTTTTTGCTTTGTATTACATAACTTTCACTTCAGGATTTAAGTTAGTTTGCCATCTATCAGACCAGTCTGGTCTTCCAAGAGCTCCAGCTTAGTGCAGGGGTGAGTTGGGACTGGATTTTTCAAGTTGTAGGATATAAAATCTAGTGTAATCTTAATGAAAGGTAACTCAAAAACTCTCAAATCATTTGCCAAAGTTTTACTAAAGGTTGCTCATTTCTTTGTTATAACATTACTTCCCAAACTTGATTTCCTATTCCAATGTTGGCTCCAGCAAAAGCCTACTCATCCTTCATTTTTCAGCTTAAGAGTTTCCTTCTCAATGGAGCTGTAGCTGATGCCCCTCATTCCCCAGAGACAAAGGCAGGCATGTGTTATGTACTACTCTCACCAAACCTTTTATACAGTCC